GGGGAGGGTGGAGGGGGCAGAAGCTTCTTAGACTTCCCTGGAATCCTGCTGCAGGGCGTAACATGGCTGAGAGTCAGGCTTAGAGGGGGCAGTCTCAGACACCGCAAGTATTAAGACATCATTTTCAAGATTACTAGACAATCCTTTTTTAGAAAGCCATTATGAGGTAACCTAGATATAAAATACATTAAGCGACTGTTCAGGGGAAATAATTATTTATTGAAAATATCTCAGAAGCTTTGTGTTAACAGACCCCTCCTCCAATTTTCATGAGCCCTAAACATTTGCTAGTCTCAAAAGACACATAATTACATACAATTTAAGTTTACAGTGTTTTAATCATTCCCTTTCTACATACATTTTTAGATCCTATGACATTAATTTAGATGACACCAAATCAATGAAAACTTAAAAAACTTATGTGTTGGGTTTATTTTTCAGTTCATGTCTACAAAATAATACATTTACATGTATTGACATATTTGTAATAAATTTATTAATATATTTGTATTAATATTACCTGTTTGGAGTTTGGTATTAAGTCAGTGTTCTTGGGTTATTACATAATAGCTGGACAACACGATCTCAACGTTGAGACGGAGGTTATTTTATGTAGTTAAAAATAGAAAAGTTATCTTGTAATAGATTAGAAAAGAATCTAATTTATAAATATATACAGTCTCTGGCTTTTATTCTCTTGTGTTTTGCTTTGGCTCCATGCAGAAAGCACTTCATTTTTGTGGTTCTGGATTTCATCTTACACATAGGTCTCCCATTTGGTACATTCAGGCCTTTATTTTACTCAATAATGGGGACTTCGATTTTGCTGTACTGTCTTTATAGCTACTTAGACTATTATTTTTCCAAAGCTTGCACTGAAAAGAGGTGGCAGGGTGGAAAATATGTTGCAAGAATTCTTTTTTTTCCCTAGGTAAAAACACCACCAACAGTTTTTTGTTTGTAAAGATCAGGAACTCTCTCACGACACAGCAAAACTCTTAGACTCTTACAGTCTCAAAATAAACGTATGGCCTTCGATCACTTTTTTGCTACTGAAAATGATTTCTAAGAAGGTGATTCATATAAAAATATGTTTTGTTTCTGTGCCAATACACAGGAGACCGTTAGAGATAGTATTTCAGCAGCTTCAAACGCTGTCTCAGTTGCACAGTGGCTTCTATGCAAGACCAACCACAGGTGTTACTCATCTCTGGGCCTCCTAAGCTCCAGCAGGGCTCAAAGCTCAAACATCACAGAGCGGCTGAGGAAGACGGGAGAGAGCATCGACTGCTGGGAGGAGAATAAGGCTCAAGATGGAAAATCGTGAACCAGATGATACTGTCAAGGAAAGCCAACTTTTATATAACATAATCAGAAAAATTAACCAACTTCCAGAAGCAGAAAAGGATCTATTTGAACATGGATCAACATACGTTGTACTTAATGCTGCTCTCTGTGGGCTAAGAGCAGTCTTTTTCAGCTCATTTTAAATGATACACATGCTCTTGCAGCTGCAGGCTTACCAATGGCAGTGATCCCATTTTCGACAGCGAATGTATCTTACAAAGTTTTTTTTTTTTTAAGTTTACCACTGAATACAGGTATTCCTCAGCCCTGCTACCAGAGAAAGAAAATATTATAAGGTACTGGATCAGAATTTCTAAGCCTGTCTTTAGAAAGCTGTTATTTCCCATTTTGTTCCAGACTGGGTTTGCCACATACCTTGATTTTAGACAATAGAAACTACTTATAAAGGCTCTTCAGTTGCCTGCCTTAGAAATTCAGTAATTGTTAAGTAAAGGTGTACACAAAAATAAAACTGTAAAAAAGAACAACTCATTTTATCATAAACTCGAGTGTGCGTTAGAATCACGTGGAGGGCTAGTCACAACACAGAGAGCTAGGCCCCAACCCCAGAGTTTCTGCTTTGTGACTCTGGGGTGGCACCAGAGAACGTGCAGCTCCAGTAAGCTCCCAGGTGCTGTTGATACCTCTGGTCTGAGGACCATACTTTGAGAATCACTGTCATAAACAGGACTTGCTGAGCCACCGTAAGATGACCTAATGCTATGAAATGGGTGGCTCAACGACCAGAAGAATTCATCCTGGACTCATGCTATTTCCACAGAACTCACAATTGCCACAAAGAATTGATGGACATCATTTCATATTCCTTTTTAATTCCTGTGCGTCTCCATCAAGTAAGCACCCATACCTGTTATCCTAGTCCTTGGCCCTCTTAAAATACCTTTTTCCTTCCATGTCACTCCCTCTTACTGGAGTTCGGAGAAATGGTTACTCCTGAGAGAGCAAACCAAGGACTAAGTTCTGTTAGTTTTGGCAAAAGTTCTAAGATGTTCATGGGCACAGACTAGTCGAGGGCAACTAGGCCACTGCTTCCGAGAGGAAATGGTACTTACCGGTACAAAGATAATTGGGTTTTTAAAAATACAATGGGCAGTCCCACAGAATGGAGGGAACAGAAGTGGATGTGTCTGGTCATTCCTCACTCCCCACTCCTAACAAGTGTTAGTCTTACATTCTCCCCAATATCAATAAACAATTCAAAAGAAATCTCAAAGCTTCTAGACTGTGTCATGGTTCTTAGCTTGCTTGCCTCCAGTGAGATCACAACATTAAAAGGAAATAACCCATTATTCTTCTATATCCCACTCCCAACAATTAAATATCTATATCCTAAATATCACTGCTCTCAAATGCTCCGTTGATTACGCCTATTTCAAAAATTTCAGGTCATGAAATCAGTCATTTTATTTCTTAAGAAAGGAAAAGAAGGTAATAGTATGATGAAGCAAGAGGTGAGTTTTGACCTCATGGTGGAATTAGGGCCCAAGCACAGGTCTGAGATTAGTGCAATTCATTCCAGAGCAGATGGTTGAGGAGATGTTGACATGTGCGATGATGCCACCGAAGCCTTCCTGCCAGGTGCCTTCAGAAATACTTCTCAGCCTATACAGCAAAGACCTGAGGAAAAACATGAGCTCTGTTCCACCTGTTTTATGCTCTAGTGAATTATCAGTATTTACCAATGTATTGTGTCACTGTTTATTTTCCTCCCAAGTGGCTTTGGGAGAGCCCACTCTGAAGATGGCTAGACCTTCTCCATCTCAATCTGCTGGTGATAGTGCCGAGCTTGCCGCTGGCCAACGTTCAGCTTGTACACGGAGCTCTTGTGCTGGCACTTGCGGTAGCCCCACACTGCCCCTACACCTGCCAGGAGCAGCAGCAGGCACAGGACGGTGACGACGGTGGCAATGATGGGGCCTCTGCTGAGACTAGGGCACTCGTCCCCTACACAGGGCTCCAAGGTTGGGAGAAGTTCCTCACTTGCACCTGGACCAGGGCCTTCCTGTCCCAAGAAGTCATCAGACAGCAGGTATGGGAAGTTATCCTGGACCTCGGGAGCAGTGGCTTCCACTGGAGTCTGGGTGGCTGCCACGAGGGTTGAGGGACTGTGGTTAGGCACCTTTGGGACAGTAGTTGTTACTGTTGCTATGGGAGAGCTTGTGGGTTCATCGGGTAGGGTGGCCATGGGAAACTTCTCTGGGGCAAATCTCCAAGGAACAGTTGACTGGTACCTGGTCAAGTCCCCATCCGCCATGCTGGGACCCTCAGTTTCAGACACACTCTTGGGTCTGAAAGCCAAAGCTTCTACATCGAGTGTTTGAGATGGAAGAACTGAAGTATGGGTCGTGTCCTCACTTGGTGTGAGGGTGGAGCTCCTGGGCTTCTTAACTTCCACAAGAACAGGCTGATGAGGGGTAAACAGAACACATTCCTCCAGCCCTACTGACCCATCTCCCCTGTCCCCATCTTCCTCCTCTTCTGCCTCTTCTGTCTCTATCTTCTTCCAAGCTCCATCGGTCACAGGGTAGCCATCTAACCAGGATCCATCGCTGCTACTCACCATTGGGTCCCCTGCCTTGCTGTCATTCTTGCCCATATGTGGCCCTGAGGGACCATCAGTGCTGCCATAGATCCCCTTGGTTTCAGGTTCACCTGGGGCCGATGTTATGCCACTGTGGTTGTCTCCAGCAGGAAACTGCTTTTTGGTGTGGTCATCCATCTCTTTTTCTAACTCAAGCTTGTGGAAGGTCGCAGCAGGAAGCCAGAACAAGTATTTCTGGTTTAGTATCCATCCTGGTAGGTCTGTGGGGACACTGCTCCCAGCGTGGGGCAAGCCTGTGGTTGGCACGAAGGCGGTATCCTGGGCTGTGTCTTCTCTTCCCGCGGAAACGGAGACCAGATGGTCCTGTTTCGGAGTTTCCTCAGAGGCCTCTCCCTGACCCCTGTCCTCCTCTGCCTCTGTTCGGGAATCTTCCATGATCTCTCTGAAGGACACTGATCTGTCATCAGGGAAATTATCTTCATAGTCAATATGTGCCTCAGCCTCATCTGAAAGGAAAGAGGGGAAAACCTCATTAGGTCCAAGGTCACAGAGCCAGTGTATAGAACACAAGAAAGGGAAACAAAAGCATAAGGACTGGAACAGATGAACTAAAACTGTCATTCACAGATGCTATGATTATGTAGCACAGATAAACCCAAAGCATTTACATATAAAAATTTATAATTAACATGGGAGGTATCAAGGATGCTAGGTCAACAGTCAGTATAAAATATCAATTGTATTTCAATATACAAGCAATAAACAAAATAAAAATTTATAGAGATGCCATTTGTCATAGCTTAAAAAAAATCAAACACCTAGGAATAAATCTAATAAAAGATATGCAAGATTTCTACATGGAATGGTACAAAATATTTGAAAAAAATTAAAGGAGGTCTAAATAAATGAAGGGATGGAAGGCTCAAAACTGTTAAGTTGTCAATTCTGTTTGAATTGATCTATCTAGATTTAATACAATCCTAATAAAAATCTGAGTCATTGAGAAGCTAATGCTAAAATTTACGGAAATGCAAAGGGCTTAGAATGGACAAGGGAATCTTGGAAAAGAAGAAAAAAGCTGGAGGAGGTACACTACAAGATTTCTCGATTTACTATAAAACTGGAGTACTTTTTTTAAGATTGTGGTATTGGCACAAGAATTGATAATAGGATTACATTAACATTATGAACTTCTGTCATTGTGTCATGAAGAGTTAAAATGCAAGTCATAGAGAGTTGGAGAGATTTGCAACACATATAACCTCCAAAGGGTTTGTATCCAGAATTTGTAAAGAACTCTTACAAATCTATAATAAATAGGCAGACAAACCATAGCAAATTTGGCGAGATACTTGAATTGGTACATCGCGAAAAAGAAATCTAGTCACTAAATGTGTAAAAATGCTCAACTTCACTAGTAATAGAGAAATGCTAATTACAGCCACAATGAGATATCATTAAATAGTACCAGAACGGCTAAAGTTAAGAGGACTGACAATATTTACTGATAACAAGGATGTGCAGCTCTGCTGGTGGGAACGTGAACCGAAAGGAGCATCATGGAGAGCTGTCTGGGCATCGCTGCTAAAAGTGTTCATACACATGCTCCAAGACACAGCAATTCCATGACTAAATACATACTTGACAGTAATGCGTACATGCGGGTAACGAAAGACAAGCACAAGAATGTTCATAATAACCCAAACATGAAAACGATCCGAACGTCCACTAGCTGCAGAACTGACACATACACTGTGGTACATTCATACAGCGACAATCTGCACATCAGTGAAAATGAACCAACAGCTGCTTCCGACAAGGACGTGGAGGAATCTCGCAGCCATAGTGTTGAACGAAAGAAGAAAAGCAAATCAGTGAAAATGAACCAACAGCTGCTTCCGACAAGGACGTGGAGGAATCTCGCAGCCATAGTGTTGAACGAAAGAAGTCAGGCACAAAAGAACATATTCTGTGTGATTCTATTTACATAAAGTTCAAAAACAGGCAAAACTAACCTATGATGTGGAAAGTCAGGATGGTGGTTCTACGTGGACAGTCTGGGCATAAGCGAGACTTCAGGGTTACTGGCAACGTTCTACTTCTTGACCTTCGTGGTGGCTAAAATTCCTTGTTTATTCTCTGATAATTTATTGATCATTCCCTTATGATTTGTATGTATGTTATAATTAAGTAAAAATGTATCTTTTAAAACACTGATTTGCTCTTTGTAAAATGTCTGAATCATGAGATTATGCTGTGAAGTTTCTGAATCCAGCTCAGTAGGGTGAACACAGGCCCCATGGTTAGGAGGCCAGAATCTCAGGACAGCAGGCCAAGAAGGCTCAAGAAGCTGGCTGGGCTTTCCCCATTCTCAGTAGTCTGTAAAAGTCGAGTCCTACTGGGAGACATACTTATCTATTACAACAGAAAGACTCCCTATGATATGTGATATAATAAGAAATATATATTTAGTCTTTGCCCCTGGTTCCTGGCATAGAGCTTCTAAAACTCTTGGAATTTCCTGAGTGACAAGGGTGATAGGAACATCTTCTGTTATTCATAACAAGCTCCTTTGACCATATCCGAGTTTATGTTAATAAGGTGACTCTCAGGTGGGCCTTCGGGTAGCTTTAGGATGTGGGGTTGATTGCTGGAGAAACCAACCTCATCTTTTTTATTTTTATTTATTTATTTTTTTAGGCAAGGCAACCCTTGGTTGACCTCACAGATTGCAAGAACCTTGTCAGCTTACAATCCCTTATTTTTTATTTTTTATGCCTACAGCACCTGGTCTTCCTAGGTGGTCTCCCATCCAAGTACTAACCAGGCCTGACCCTGCTTAGCTTCCGAGATCAGATGGGATCAGTCTTGTTCAGGGTAGCATGGCCATAGACACCAACCACATCTTGATAAGAGAGTTGGAACTTTCAGCCCCACTCCCCAACCTCCTGGGAGGGGAGGAGCTGGAGACTGAGTTCATTACCAATGGCCATGATTTGATCAATCATGCCTATGTAATGAAAGTTCCATAGAAACCCATAAACTACAGGGTTGGGAGAACTTCCAGGTTGGTCCTATAATGCATCCATGTACCCAAAATTTACAGGGATAGAAGCTCCTGCCTGTGCTCAGGATCCTTCTAGACCTCTCCCTATGTACCTCTTCACCTGGCTTTTCACCTATATCCTTTATAATACACTAGTAAATGTAAGTAAAATGTTTTCCTGATTTCTGTCTTTCTAGCAAATCACTGAGCCTGAGGCAAGGTCATGAGAACACCCAGTTTAGAGCCAGCTGGTCAGTAGTCCAGGAATCCTGGGACTTGTGACTGGTGTCTGAAGTGGGGGGCAGTCTTGTGAGACAGAGCTTTTAACCCGTGAGGTTAGCACTAAGTCTAAGTAGTTAATATTAGAATTCAGCTGAATTGTAGAACACCCAGCTCCTGTCTGGAGACTTGGAGAACTGGTTGTTGGTGTGAACCTCATGCCCCGCCCCTCGTCCGCCCCCCCCCCTGCCCCGCACACACACATTTGGTGTCAGAAGTGCTCTATGGGCAGAAACAGATCTAAGTTTTTCCCCACTTCGCTCTGCACCTTGGAAAGCATGCAAAGTAAATCTCCAGAGTCAAGGTCTAACATGGATGGACCAAGAGGGTATTATGCTACATGAAATAAGTCAGACAGAGAAAGACAAATACCATATGACCTCACTATATTTGAAATCTAAAGAACAAAATAAATGAACAAATAAAACAGAAACGAACTCGTAGATATAGATGGTTGTCCAATGGGAGGGGAGTTGGGGGGCTGGAGGAAAAAGGGGAAGGGATTAAGAAGTACAAATTGGTAGTTACAAAATAGATTTGGGTATTTAAGCACAGCATAGGGAATATAGTTGATAATATTGTAACAGCTATGTATGATGCCCAGAGAGTATAGACTTATCAGAGAATCACTTCATAAACTATATAAAGGTCTTCCCACCATGCTGTACCTCTGAATCTAATATAAAATAATACTGAATGTCAACCATAATTGAAAACAAAGCCAAAAACAAAAAACAAAGTTAAAAAAAATATGGTTAGATTGTTTGCTTGATGTGTATGTATTGACTAGTTATGGTAAATTGATTGCAAAAATGGCCACAATTCTCCACTCTCCTCTAAGTCCTTTTTATTATTATTTTTATTAAGGTTATTGGGGTAACATTAGTTAATACAATTATATAATTTTAAGGTGTATATTATAATTTCACATCTGTATATTCTACTGGTTTACCACCTAAAGTCTAGTTTCCTTCAGCTACCATATATTTGATCCCCTATATCCACTTCACCCTCTCCCTATCCTCCTATATTTGACCCCCTTTACCCCATCTATCTCCTCCCACCTCCCCCATCCCCGGCTCTTTAGTAACCACTATTCTATAGTCCATGTCCATGAGTCTCTGTTTGTCCTGTTCATTTGGTGCTTTCAGGTTTATATCCCACATATAAGTGATATCATGTGATTTGCAACTTTTTCTGTCTGGCTTATTTTGCTTAGTATGATTATTTCAAGGTCCATCCATGTTGTTGTAAATGGCAGTATTTCATCTCTTCTTATGGCTGAGCAGTATTCCATTGTATATATGTACCACAGCTTCTTTAGTCAACCATCTGTCTGTCATAGGACACTTCGGTTGCTTCCATGTCCCGGCCACAGTGAATAATGCTGCTATGAACATCAGTGTGCAAATATCTTTACGGATATGAGTTTTCAAGTCTTTGGGGTATATACCCAGTAGAGGGATTGCTGGATCATATGGTAGATCAAACCTCCATACTGTTTTCCATAGTAACTGTACCAATTTGCAGTCCCACCAGCAGTGTATGAGGGTTCCTTTTTCTCCGCATTCTCTCCAACATTTGTTATTACTTGTGCTGTTGCTTATAGCTATTCTAACAGGTACGAGATGGTATCTCATTGTGGTTTTGATTTGCATTTCCCTAATAGCTAGTGATGTTGAGCATCTTTTCATATGTTTGTTGGCCATTTGTATGTCCTCTAGGGAGAAGTCTGTTGAGGTCCTCTGCCCATTTTTTGATCGAATTGTTTGTTTTTTTGTTGTTGTTATTGAGTCATATGAGTTCTTTGTGTATTTTGGATATTATGCCCTTATCGGAGGCGTTGCTTGCAAATATATTTTCCCATTCGGATGGTTGTCTTTTTACCTTGTTGATGGTTTCTTTTGCTGAGCAGAAGCTTTTTAGTTTGATGTAGTCTCATTCATTTACTTTAGCTTTTACTTCCCTGGCCTTTGAGGTCAAATTCATAAAATCCTCTTTAAGTCCCAGGTCCTTGAGTTTAGTTCCTATGTTTTCTTCTAGGTATTTTATTGTTTCAGGTCTTATATTCAGGTAAGTTAAGTCCTTTTGTAATGGGATCATGTATCTCCTCCCTTCAAGAAGCGGTGTCTGTTTTTCCATCTCTCAAATCTGGGCTGGCCTTGTCTCTGGCTTTGACCC